TTATAAATGCAGTTAAAGTCGTAGGGAAATCATATTTAAATGTCAAATCATTCTGGCTTAAACATATATATAAATATACTCTTTATCAGACCATATTGTCCCAAAAGTTATTTGTTTTCTATTTAAAAACCATATTTATGAAGGAAGCTAATTAATCTGGGGGGGCCAGGGGCCCTGAGCAGACACTTGGACCGGCCCTGCACAAATGGGACTAAGGTTTTTGTCTTTGTTTATAGTTCTGCCTCCTAAGTTTTCCCTTCTTCTCCTCCTTCCAGCATTGAGGGTGAGTATGTTCCAGTGGAAGGAGACGAAGTGACCTACAAGCTCTGCCACATCCCTCCTAAACATGAGAAGGTCCAGGCCGTGGAGGTGAACATCGTCCATCTGAAGCCAGGAAGCAAGCATGAGACCTGGGGGGGGCACATCATCACCAGCTGAGCACCTCACTGAGGGGGCGGAGTCAGGGGGGGAGATAATGTCTGCAGAATTTAAAGGGGGGGGTGATGGATATGATGAGATTCCAGTTTAAATCCCAACCGTCTCATAATCATCTAGTTTTGCAGTGTGAGCAGCCGCCGGTTGCCCCCGGCGACTCGCCCAATCCTGGACAGAACCGGGTTTTCTTTGGTAGGATCTGCGTCTTGGACTGCAGACATCTTTATTCCTGTTAATCGTCACCGCGGTGCATTTACAGAGTTTAGAGCATAAAGCTGCAGCCTGTCAGTGTTTCTGAGGATGGAAAACTGATCTGGGTTCAGCTCATCTGTGTGCCTCCATTCTTCAGCCTGTAATCTCTACTTGATCATATTTGGGAGAAATAAAGGATTTTCAACAGATCTGTGCCGCATATTGTTTCGTTTTATTTAGAAAAAGATTTTTATGACTAAATTAATATCAGGTAATTGATGCGCCTCCATTCATTTTCTAATCTTTTCTATGAACATCTTTAAGAAATGAAGATCTGGTCCTGTTCCTCCATCGGGCTGAAAGCACGTTCAGTTCAGTTCAGTAGCTTTTATTTATCCCAGTATGGACCATTTTTTTGCAGTAGTAGTAAACCTTTCACACACACGTTCACATTTCACAAATAAAAAATAAAAGAAGAAACATAAAATATTTTAAAAAGATAAAAGTAAGTTTAAAAAAAATATATGTGCGGTGCAGGGGATGAATGAGAGCATAGGCCTATATGCATGCAACATCTGCTTTTCCTAGTAGAGTTTAGCAGCTGAACAGCAGAGGGAATAAAGGAGTGTTTGTATCTGTTGGTCTGAGCTGGTGGATATTTAAAACGGGAACCAGAGGGTAGAAACTGGAATTCGTTATGTAGGGGATGAGTATAATTATCCAAGATGTGTCCAGTTTCTGTTATCAGGGGGTCACGGGAGTTCAGCTGCCAAATGCTTTGCTTTCTTTTTCAGACTTTTTTTTGGTGCTCTTCATGTCTCATCAGACAGCTCATCAAAAATGTTGTTTGTTTTTTTTTCCTCCAGATTGTTGCTGCCATGTTACTTTTGTTCATTTTGTTTAAAATCCAATTGACAGCAGTTTTGTTTGATTTGAAGAAGCTGGGTGGGTTGACCTTTAGTTACCCCTCATGGTTTTTATAAAAAATAAGAAATATTTGACTCCATATTTGATTTGAAGAGTTTGGCCTCCAGGCTTCTGCCCCCTGAAGCTAATTCCCAGCTCGTTTTGTCTCTTTAAATAACCTTTTTGATAGTAATAGACTCTCAGCCAGAACTTAAACTTGATCATGCTTTNAGTTGAGTAGAGCAATAGTACACTGCTCAAAAAAATTAAAGGAACACATCAGATCTCAATGGGGCAAACCATCATGCTGTTTATTTATCCTGATATGGACTGAGTGATGTGTTAGGAACAAAAGGATGCCACATCATTTGATGGAAATGAAAATGAGCAACTTACAGAGGGCTGAATTCAAAGACACCCCAAAACTTACAGTGAAAAAATAATGCGGCAGTGGTGCTGGGCAGTGAGTACGGGGCCCACTAGAGAATGTTGTGAAGTTTTTTTTCTGATTGTCTGGTCAGAGACATTCACACCAGTGGCCTGCTGGAAGTTATTTTGTAGGGCTCTGGCAGTGCTCCTCCTGCTCCTCCTTGCACAAAGGAGCAGATACCGGTCCTGCTGATGGGTTGTAGACCTTCTACAACCCTGTCCAGCTCTCCTGGAGTAACTGCCTGTCTCCTGGAATCTCCTCCATGCTCTTGAGATTGTGCTGGGAGACACAGAAAAAACCTTCTGGCAATGGCACGTATTGATGTGCCATCCTGGAGGAGTTGGACTGCCTGTGCAACCTCTGTAGGGTCCAGGTAGCGCCTCATGCTAACAGTAGTGACAGTGACCCTAGCCAAATGCAAAACTGGTGAAAAAGACTCAGAAAAGATGAGGAGGGGAAAAATGTCAGTGGCCTTCACCTGTAAAACCATTCCTGCTTTGATGGTCGTCTCGTTGTTGCCCCTCTAGTGCACCTGTTGTTAATTTCATTAACACCAAAGCAACTGAAACTGATTAACAACCCCCCCTGCTACTTACCTGACCAAATCAATATCCCAGAAGTTTAATTAACTTGATGCTGATTACAAAGTGTTCCTTTAATTTTTTCGAGTAGTGTATAAAGGGTTATAGCGCTGCGACTGTTAAAAAAAAAAAAAAAAAAAAAAAAAAAAAAAGGAACCATAAAACATTTCCTTCTGGTTCTTATACCTCAGTAATCTCTGTAAACTATACATCTCACACTGTCACACAGCTCCTCACTGCCACAATTGCAATTCAGTTTATTTCTATAGCACCAATTAACATGTCATCTCAAGAAACTTTACAGTTCACCAGATCAAACCAGTTGATTTCATTGACTCAAATGCAATCCCTCACACTAAGCATGCTTGTAGCGACAGTGGAGAGGAAAAAGCTCCCTTTTAACAGGAAGAAACCTCCAGCAGAACCAGGCTCAGTGTGAGCGGCCATCTGCTGAGGCCGACTGGGGTT